CAAAAGAAAGCTCTATCTGTCCCCAAAAAAAGGTATAAAATACATCTCAGTACAGCGCTGCATGACGGAATAAATGTCAGTCAAAGTACCGCAGCGCTGAATACTGAAAAATGGCCTGGATAGGAAGGGGGTTTAACACCGCGGATGTCAACTGGTTAATATGGCGCAGGTTGATGTCCCTGAGCAAGGAAAATCCTACAGAGATATTTAACTTCCTTAATAGAATTTTAGGTATACATAGTCCTCTAAGATTACGTTTGAGTTCATCAACTGTCTTGTTGCGGTTTTCATTAAAGTGCATTGGAAGAATGTTGATGCCTGTAGCAGATATCCATTATCTGCTATGAGAACACCTATTACCAAACAACTACTCGAACTAATGGAGCCATCATCTAATCAAGTGACAAAAGGACTGTGACAGCAGAAAATCTTGTCATAGCTTTATCCACATTAATGGAGCATTTGCGTACAGCACATTGGTTATACAAGACCTAACGTCTGCAGCCTGCATCTGGATATGTTACAGCATCATGCTACCTGGTACTGGAATGCTAAGAAGACAACTGATAAATGGAGAAGAGCTCAGTGATTGCCTGCATGGAGAGGTGGCAATCTGGACAACCATAGAGGCTGCTTTTTAGTCTCTAAGTAAAACTAATATTGATATTTTAGGCAGATATAAGATGAAATAATTTGATATGTATTCTGTATCTGTAGAAATATTTATATGCATTATTAAAGGAGTTTTCTGTATTATAAGGGCCCATTTACACTACAGTATGTACGGCCCCGTGCCCCTGTGCTGACAGGTAGTATGCTGACAGGAGGAACATACTTCAGCAGGTTGAAGACTCAGCATACCACCTCTGTAGAATCAGCATGTTGGGGATGTGATTTTAACTGAGCTGTGCAGTGGACATTGATCAGGCTGTGCTGTTTGGATAACAAGATTGGCCTCACAGAATTGCAAATCATTTGGCAAGCATTAAAGTTCCCATATCACTATTTCAACTATCTATAGAGTTACTTGCCTGGAGTTCAGCTTTACATGAAAACATTTAAAGAAGTTCTCCAGGCAGAAGTGGTCTTAACCCTTGCACTGGGGCTACCCTCACACTGCAAGGGTTAAGTGCTCATTTTTGTCTTGGTGCTAGAAAAAATTTACTTAGCTGAACCACTGGGCCGCTTGCTTGCTTCTCCGGTCACTGAAGTCTGCTTCCTTCTCCTCTGCAGCTTTGGAATGTTCCTTAGCATCCTCACATCTATGATTTATGGAACCTTCGACCGCTGCAGTGGAGGGGGAGAGAGGCTGGATGAAATGGTCCAAGAACAAGCTGGCTTGTTCAACCCAGTGAGTATAACTTTTTTTTTTAACCTAGACAAAAACAAACACTTAACCCTTGCAGTGCGGGAGTAGCCCCACTTCATGGGTTTATACAATTTTCCCCAGAGTTGTTATTTAAAAGTAAAGGAATCACATCTAAGTATTTGTGTACCATTTTGGAAATGTCCCTTTCCTTCCTGCTGCAGAGATGCAACAGGAAGTGAGAGCAAATCTCCTAAATGAGTTAAATCCCCTCTTAGACAGTTGTTCTCGGAACAACTGTCCCAGTTGGATATCTTTTGTTGTAGGGGTAACTCTAAAATGTTGGATTTACCCCCACTTTCTGTGTCGATGACAAAAAGCATCAGGACACACATAAGGATGAATTACAGACAACAACAAAGTTTGACAGAGGGTCAAACCCTTCCCCATGCCCCCCAAAACTAAAAAAAAATATAAAATAATTGCCCAGTGATACACTCCAACAGACCAACATGTAACAAGTTATAGAAGTTTATTGTTAGACTTGTTGTATATAAGTATTTATTTCCTATGCTCCTCAGCTCCATCTAGAGGCCATAATGTATTATCACAACACACTACATTCAAACTGGGGAAAATATATTAGAACATTCGTTTTTTGCAATATTTACCCCAAAATGTTCACAGATATGCCCAGGGTGAAGGGCCTGTGCATTGTTTATAATTCGACCCCTTTATGATCTTTTACTGATTAGGTTATTTAGTCATTTGAATAAAGTAGATTAGATTTCCTAGTATGTGCTGCGAGATAAAGTGCTTCTTGTTGCTAGACACCAGGCACTCTAGTGATTATAAAACATCCGCCACAGCAACTGGGAGAATCGCAGTCAGCTGAAATTGATTTAATGTTAAGGACTAAAAGCAGGCACACAGCCTCCCCATTAATATTTTAATTGACGGCACGTAGAGGAAAACAACCAGCTATATAAAAAATAATGGTGACGAGGGGAGAGGAGATGAAGAAATTCATTACCAGTGTTTCCAGTTCAGTATTTTAGGCTGGAGACATTTTATGACATAGACTTACTTCTCGCTCCAACATTAACCCCTCGGCTCTCAGGTTCTTCTCGAAGGTGCTTCGTTTTTCAATCTGCAGACTTGACTTCTTGTATACCAAGATGTAATCAATGCGTTTGATGCCATCTTTAAAAAACAGTCCAAGGGAGGCTACTGAATTCATTTCATTCTGGAAGAGTAAAGAAACACACAGAAGGTATAATTCATTTAAAATTCATATTCAGTAATCATGGAACATGGGCTTATTTTGACTTTCACAAGGCACGTTAGGAAATCTCTGCAAGGAGCTTTCTGTGCCAAAAGCAAGTGTGAATAAAAAAGTGCCCCTAACTATAAAGTAGACTAAAGTCGGCCATACACCTATAGATTATATGCAGATTTTCTATGGTCAGATGGAAAAAGTGCAACAGACTCCTCCTACCTCGCTAAACTGTGTGGATGGAGGAATCTCCCACTGGGCCAAGCTTCAGTATCTTGCTAGTTGGCCCCCATTTATAAATGATTATGTACATTTGTTCTGTGCAAATAAAGGCAAAAGCAAATATTAGTAAATTTTCTTTCCAGGTTGAATATAATACCAGGTAAATAACACATTTTGGCCACTAGATGGAGCTGAGGAGCATATGATTTTTTTTCTATGCTCCCCTGCTCCATCTAGTGACCATAATGTGGTATTTACCTGGTATTATATTTAACCTAGAAAGAAAATATGCTAATTACATTTGTTTTGCCTTTATTCTTACATCAGGAATGTACATGTAATTTTACAGGTGCATTGGCTCTGTGAATTGTTTATAAACACACCCCTTAAAGTATATGTAAAACCAAAAATTAGTTTTGAAAAAAGTAGGGAAAAAACCCTGTGAAGTTATTTTTTTTTACTCCCCGTGTTCTGCTGGGAAGATTTGCCTTCACCTTCTGTGCTGGAAACACAACAGGAAATGAGAGGAAATCTCTCCAAAGTGAAAGGTATTCCCTGAGAGTTGTTACAGGAACCAGCGTCCCCACTTGGAGGATTCTTCCACACCGCGGGCGCTGGTGAGAACTCAAAACTTTTGGATTACCCCCTCAATTCTGTCTCAGTGAAAATGATCACTAGGGCAAATACAAAGGCAAACCTCTCCAATAGGACACAGACAGCAATCATGTAAAAAAAGACTGCAGATGCACCAGGCAGTTTACATTCAATTTTCTCCTGCGCTGTATTATGCAGATGTGACAACATACTCTATAGAGGTGAATGTGAGAGCCTAGAGCTGGCCATACTTAAATTATGGCCTAGTCCTGCCCCCTAACCCCCCTACCCTCCAGAAACACCCAAGTTAGTTTGAAAATGTTTGGCCGAATAGTAACTAGAGCCAAACAGCTGCGGTCACTATTTGGGTATTCTGACAGCAGAACACCTGCCACTTTCAGGATACAATAGCCCAATGGCGGGAATCCACCTTGAAGACTGTTAAGTGTTAATGGACAAATCTAGTGTATGGCCAATCTAACTTAGGAGTTTTTGGTGGTCCCACCGACCTGGCTGTGTTCAGCAACCCTGTTATATTTTCCATAAGATAAAATAAATTATTAAACCAACAGGCAGGGTGGAGCCCTTCATAATGGCCACAGCAGGTGAACAGGCCCATAAAGAGCACAGATCTTCTCAATGAAGTCCACAAGCTATTGTCAGGTAGTTTCATTTTCCTTGACCTCCAAAACACTGAACCAGCAGGATTGGAAATTATTATTGAAGATGATTGAAAAGAAAACCCCACTAAGAAAAATACATGGACTACTACTACTAACTTCTGAAATGCTAGCTGCCTGGGTGTAATGCTGACCTCAAGTCTTCAATACTCTTCAATCCAGTGTTTCTGAGCTGAAACCACTATACAGACCAGGATTTCTGAGTTTGCTGGTTGCATACTTGTTGCAGGTCAGTGACTCAGGAAACACTTGTTTGAGATGATCAGTATGTCTGAGGGACTCAGGGACAGCTAGTATTTTCAGGAAACTATCAAGGACTCTACTAGTATTTGTTTCCATACAGGTTTCCTTTAATGGGTTGACTTCATCCTGCTGAACATGGGAGAAATTAACTTTTGTAAGGGGACTGGGAGGAGAGGAATCGGAAATTCATAAAAAATGGAAATCACCTTTAAACTGCCAGTTGCTGTACAATATATTTGTCAGGCATCATCCAGCTCTACATGGACACAACCAGACTAAATACTTTCCCGTCTATAAATCTTTTTCCTATTATGTACGCAGGCTTTTAAGACTCATTCTACTTTATGTCCAATCTGTGCAGTAATGACAGTGGAAAATTGCCTTGCTCAACCAAACTAATTATCGAAGTTGACCTTTGGAGCAATCTGAACACACAGATTCCTTGCCTTGTTTTCTCTGCAGTTGTCTTACTTGTTTAAATAAACCATTGCCAGACCTGTATTCTTTTTCATGGTGAAGAATCTGATTGGTTGTTTCATCACCTGTAGAAACCTTTACTTGTAAAATTAAATGAGTTGCAATCTCACTTGGCTATGAGACACCTGTGTGAAAGCCGGTAGCACAGCTTAGCACACATAGGCTGCCGGCTAAAGTTTCACAGCTAAAAGCTTCCATTAATTATCTGGCCGTGGACAGGGATCTGTTGCTATCATGTAAGATGGGTAAAACAAATAAAGCTAACGGTATTTTGAATGAAGAAGGGGCAGCTTGTAATAAACACACATAATTGTTGGTATTTTTATGATAAAAGTAGTTCACCTACAAAGAGAATATGTCCAAAAAAATCCAAGTACCTCAACTATTAACAAAAATTTAGATTATTTGTGTATCATCCAGCTGTAGATCCTCAAATCATCTCTGAATTGGTGCTGACACTGTCCTTCCTTCTGGAGGGGGGCTACTTTTGTTCCCCATGGTCCCTGTATGTGTTGTAAAGAAGCCACCACTCCAAGCTCACTCCTGTGATGGACTAAAATCTCACGTTTAATTTACTAATTTGTATTAAGATTGTAGTCCATTGAGGGAGTGATCTTGGAGCGGTGGCTACTTTAAAACACACACAGGGACCATGGGGAACAAAAATAGCCACCCTCCAGAAGGAAGGACAGTGTCAGCATGAATTCAGAGAGGATTGGAGAATCTACAGCCAAGTGATACACAAATAAGATTTTGATAATAGTTAAGGTCCCTGAATGCATTTTTAAAGTTTAACTCCTGAGTTTAGCGTCACTTTAAGTATAAAAATGAATAAAAAAGGTAATGTGATGGGTGGTAGTAATATATAGCACTGTCTCTAAAAAATGCGTGTGTGTTGTAAAGTAGTCACCACTCCAAACTTGCTCTCGTGATGGACTACAATCTCAATACAAATTAGTAAACTCAACGTAAGATTGTAGCCCATCACGGGGATGAGCTTGGAGCAAGGACTACTTTACAATGTTACTTTAACTCCTAAGTTTAGCTAAACATGTGCAAATTGTTTTGTTCCGAATTGAAATTTGTACGGATTTTCAGAAATTCGGACATTTGGATGCTGCAAATTTCCGAATGAAAGAAATAACGAATCAAATGTATCCAAATTCTCTGCTAAAGAAATTTGGATGCATCTGAACTTTTTTCCAAATGTCATTTGAAATTAACTTGTGCCTTTAAACATTAATATAAAAAAAAACAGAGTGGAGTCCCCTCCTCACTTCATAATAGACTCACACCCCCCTACCCCCCTTTCTTGCTCTGCCAGGCTGCTGCTCGGATCAAGGATCTGGTAAGAGATTTTAGGGGGACCATTTATAAATGGGACCCATCTTATAGTTAGATCTCACTAGATGTCACCTCCCTCTACACAATTATTCCCCACCAAGTAGGTTTAAATGCACTACTATATTTTCTCACAAAATCCTCCATCCACCACAGCCAAGCACAGTTCATTTTGAACTGTACAGAATTCGCCCTCACCCATAACTATTTCTCTTTCTGGGTCAAATTTTATCTACAGACGCAAGGGACAGCCATGGGGGCTAATTTCGCACCCAGCTATGCAAATTTGACCATGGGCCATTGGGAGGCATTACACATCTGGAATAATAACCCATTTGCGGAACGGTTGGTGTTCTATGGCAGGTATATTGATGATGTCCTGATTATTTGGGACGGCCCCATCGATAGTGTGCCTGATTTCTTAACTCATTGTAATAACAATCAATTCGGGTTGTCGTTCACTTTTGAGTCCAACAACACCAAATTGGTCTTTTAAGACCTTGAATTGTCCTTTATGGATCAGGACATCATCACAAGTAACCACGTTAAACCAACAGGAGGCAATTCCTACCTACACTTTAAGAGTTGTCACCATCCTAGGTGGAAGAAAAACATACCTAAGAGCCAATTTTGCAGACTCAGAAGGAATTGTACCCAAAGCACCGACTATGCCACCTCTAGCCAACTCCTCCTTAGTAAATTTAGAGAGAAGGAATACCCAGAGGAAATTATTTTGGAGGCCTGCTCCAGCTACTCTGCAACCGACCAACCTACAGTACCCACAAGGCCTCACTCTGCCAGTGATGACAAGAACATACGCTTCATCACCACCTTCAACAACGGTTTTACAGCGATACAAAAAGTCATCCGAAAACACTGGCATATCCTACAAAAAGACCCCAGATTGGGTCCTTTTTTACCAACTAATCCCTCTATTAACTTTAGAAAGTCCAGGTGCATTAAAAATATGGTTGGCCCGAGTCGAGCCTTTGTAGGCCCAGAATCACGTCCCAAACATTTTTTAATCGACAATAGAACTGGTGTATTCCAATGTAAAAAACCTAGATGTTTGACATGCCAGTTCATCCAACATGGCCAAACAAAGTTCTATGACCACCTCCATAATCTCTACATCATTAAACAATTTATAACGTGCTCACATGATCACGTAGTTTATGGATTAAAATGCACTTGTGGTCTCCTCTATGTGGGTCAGACAATCAGACCCCTACGAGCTAGAATAGCGTCCCTCGACACTTTACTTTTAAGCACAATAAAAATATCCAAGATCTCCAAGTGTTCGCTTTCGAACACATTTCCAATCAACTTTCTTCATCTGAAAGGTTTCATCTCCTCTGCAAAAGAGAGACCTATTGGATCTACAAATGTAATACCCTGGTTCCAATGAGTCTC